GATAACATGTTATCCCAACATCTCATGCAAGCATATATAATTCTTCACTATTTCCCCTTCTGATTATCATCTGGTTGTACCCGACCTGTAATGCACATTTTCAAAACACCGAAATGAGGGTTAGACCTTGAGGTCTAGCGAGAAATCCCTTGTTTGCTATTACAGAGTGAATAATCACCAAAACACTTTTATAAACCAATATTTGTATAAATAACGAAATGCAACATTTTAATAAAACAAACCTCTTTTGTCGCATCAAAATGACTAAGACATTATCCAATTTTCGCATCAAATAGTCCAATAACTTATTTATCATATTATGATAAATCACATAATATCATATAGATGAAAACATAAATTCCTCACATAACATGGGTGAAGCAACTCCATTTCCTTGCAACACACTGGTGCGAGGACCCCATCTCATCGCATCATATAGGTGCGATAACCCAACTTGTCGCATTAGTAAGATGTGATAAGTTCATCTGTCGCATCACAAGGATGCGACAAACTCACTCCTTGCACAAAAAACCACTTATCGCATCAATAAGATGTGATAACCCAAGTCATCGCATCACACATATGCGACAACTCAAAGTCATCGCATCATAAGGATGTAACAAACAGAATAATCATAATCAAAACCCAGATTTTTACATTCTAATTATTATGTCACCCTAACCCTGGTACACACCTCTCCTTGATATGTCACCCTTATAATCAAAATACATCTGTACTTGATATGTCACTCTTATAACCAAAATATGCATCTCCATGATATGTCACCCTTATTCCATTCACTTGATATAAACATATCAAAATACCATAATTATGTTAATCATAGCATCAAAAACAGTTTTTATATCATCTTCATGTAAGGAACCATACGGTTCCAATTTCAACCAAATAAGATGAAAGTTATAAATAAACTTACCTTATGAACAACAACAATTATTTAGGTACTAATCACATAATCAACTTCCTTTCTTTCCTTCTTTTACTGCTTCAAATTTCTCGACCCCAATAATACACAATAAGACTTCTTTTCTTTTCTACTTTATAATTATCATCCCAATAAGATAATGTAATTCTCTCATATTATCGTGTATATAAAATCATGAGGTTGTGGGTAAGTTTTAAATAATTTTAAGTGTAATAACAAATTAAACCCCTCAACTTACCACCACTTTTCAAAAACAACCCCGAACTTTATAACCGATTAACCAGTTATCACATTAAACAACACATGTGAAACCAAATCCCTGAAAATCGATTTAAACCATCCAATGAGTTTGATTGTAAACCATGGTTCATATTGTTTCACATCGTTTGTGCTTGTGTGTGAGTATAAGTTTGTGTTTCGTATCTAAATATATTCTGATCTTTTTTCCAGACGCATAATATTTTTTAACGTTTCATACATACAATATTTATATAGCATTGTTTCATAAATGAAATGTTAAAAGATATTACATATGTGAAAAAAAAAATACAAAAATATGTTTGTATATGAAACAACGTTATATAAACACCGTATAGTTACATATTATTGTTATATCTTGCATTGTAACATCTTTCAAGACACTATAAGTGACCCTTCAGAAAATCCATGAAAATGGATGTAGGACAAGATCCAAACCAATTATATTTATATGTTTACTTTTTTTTTTATTATTGTTTATTTCAAAAGGTACCAAAATGAGGTCTTTTTTGAAGTGGCAATTGCCATGTAAACAAAGGGTATGATCATATGTAGCAACTTTTTGTCCACTTAAAACCTAAAATAAAACACACTAAAATCTCATTGGACAACAACTTGTGGATGGGTGTGATTCAAAATGGTTACTCCAATTTCATTGTTTTCTTTTTCTAATAATAAGAGGGCTAATTAATAGCATGACACCACACCATTTTCATTTAATTTCTAATTTAATAACTAAAAGTCTAATTTTTTTTTTTTCATTTTTTGTACAAGGTTGGCCCTAATTAATGTATGAAAACAATAATTAACTCTTTTTTTATAATTACAAATGTCCAGATCAATTTATATATTACCTGATATATTTTATAGAACATAAAATTAATAATTAGACTGATAGGATTTGAATGGGATTTTTAAGAAGTAAATCAGAGGTTTTACCATATTACTGATCCAACTATCACTCAAGTTAATAACCAACTTGGATCTTATTAACTTAATTGAAACATTTTTTTGAAGTCTATAGAAGTGCTCTTGATGATCAAATTATGAATGTCATTCTTCACATTGAATATTATTTCAAAATGTAATATTTTATGGAGTAAATTAAGATTTTCGTCTCTGTGGTTTGTTAATGATTTCGATTTTCGAACTTCTTTAAGATTTTCATCCTTATGGTTTATAGATTATTGTTATTTTCGTCTCTGAACTAATTCTTCCATTTTAAGTAGAAGGGACCAAAACCACAAGGACTGAAACAACAGTAAATTTTTAAATTATAAGGACGAAAATAGCAATGAATTATAAACCATAAACAATGAAAACCACATTTTCTATACCATGAGGATAAAAATCGCAATTTTAAGCAAACCACGAGGATGAAAGATGTAATTTACTCTATTTTACAAGAAAATTAATTATAAATTTACTTATTCCTATATTAGTAACCATTACATGGTATTAATAAATACATATAATTTGATCATCAATCATAAACTTAAAAAAATAAGTGTAATATCAAAATGTATAATTGTTTTAGTAAAATGCATCGAAATTGAACGTGTTTTTTTGGTAACGTATTTGTGAAAGCTCTATTTATATTTATGATATTTACAACAAGATATGTTTAATAATTTTTTTAAGAATGGTTTTTTGTTCGGCAAATTATAATACCTTTTTTACAAACAAAATTATGATCTGTTATTTGATTGTATCAAAGCCATTATAAGTGACTAAAGGGTCTTTGGCCTAGATGTATCGTAGTCTCTGGCCTTCTAGAAGATCAGGAGTTCAAATATCATCAAAAATAAAAAAAAGTGTGTGAGTTTATTTATTGCATTTACTGTATTGTATATAAATATCATATACTTTAAAAAAAAACCATCATGAGTGAAACTTTTGAAAATAGCTTTTTAAAAGTGAAAAACTAAACAAAATTACATTATAGAGTGGATTATGTTTTCTGGTAATTTCTTTGGAAATTTCTATCTTCTTTCTTTTATACTTCTAAAATTACGATTTTCATCTCTATGATTTATAATTCATTATTTTTTCATCTTTATGATTGTTTTTTTTTCATCCCAATGTTTTTTACAATTCATTTCTATTTTAATCTCTCATGCTTAAAAATAATAGTTAGTCTCATAAATGAAAATAGAAATGAATAATAAACCCTAGGAGTAAAAACCACAGTTTTGAATTTCTAACGAACCACAAGTGTTTAAAATGTAATTTCCTCTTAATTATATTTTGATGTAATTTATTTTTTAAGACAAATGAAAGATAATGAGTAAAGCCTCCAATAGGGAGGGTAAGAGTAGGATCAAGGTTATTTTGTTTTCTAATTAATTTAAAATAACAGATGATAAATAGGTAATCATTCATATTGAACTGTTATTAATATTCATACTCTACCCACTAACATAACAGGTAAAAAAAACGGTTATAGATAAATGGTAAGAAAACTAGTAAAATATAAATTCATATATATATATATATATATATATATATAGTTATGACTCAGAGAATAGAATCTTATCCCCGCCGACTAAGCCTAGACTCTTTCGTATCACGCTAATTCAGTGCGTGTGTATATATATATATATATATATATATATTAAGTATTGTACATTCAATTTATTTCGATATACACTATAATGTTACTATTTTTTTATATAATTATAATGTAATAAGATAAAGATATGTATAAATACTTTGTTAAAGAAGTGCTTTAAAGTAATACATATGGCTTTAATATAGAGTGACATAATTTTGACCAGCTTAATTGTATGGATAAGCATCAGATCATCATCCACTTCATTGCTGGAGGATATAATTTAATGATTAGATGTAGTTTTATCACTTCAGATCAGACTGAAATGGTTTTATTAAACTAAGTTCCTATTTAATTTCATCGTTATTCGTTTGAATATTATATAACAAGGCAACGATGTTTTTTAAGACATGATTTATATGACAACTGACCCGTATATTATATATACTAAAACCTAAAAATTTAATACTAAAAAGGTTAAAAGAATCAAAAGATAAAGTAAAGATCAAGTAACACCGTACAAAAGTATGAATCAAACTATGATGTATCACATGCTTAACATGGCGCCAAATATGAGACTTACGTCATGGCATGGTGGACATGCATGGTAATTTAACTTAAAAAATCGACTATATTGATCGATTGTAAAGTGCGTTTTAACTTTTTTTGATGAATGGTATATGCATGTTGATTTTACATACATTCTTTTAATTGAATTATCTATTTGTATTGTGTCTAGAAATGCTTATATGCTTAGAATCATGTGACACTATTCATTTTTCATGAGACCACCCCGCATCTCTATGGTTCACCTTCATCTCGCCCAACCCAGTAATCCCATACAACGTAGGGTCTAAAAAGGGTAAAATATAAGCGAGCCAAGCCCTTTATCCGCTCCAACGGCTAAAGGTGGTTTGACCCTAAATCGCAGAAAAAAGTTTATACAGGAGGCTTTGGCGACTCCGAAAGTCTTGAGTGAATCTGGAGAGATGGAATAAAGAACTTGTGTTCATAAGGTTAAAAGGGGAACAGAAAATCACCAAACTAGCCTTTCTTGGGTTAAAGAAAATCACCAAATAGCTTTTTCGGCTGAGATATGGACCATTTTCTGACAAAATAACAACCGAAAAAACTAGAAAAGGTGATACCGCAACTCAATTTGCAGAATTCTCAACTATTTCTTAAATTTGGCTTGCCAAAAACGAGGCTGTTATGGTGATTTTCTCGAAAGGGAAATGGATCCACGGTACCAGAAAAATGAGCATCACATAACAAGTACGAATGTGCAAGGTACAAATCATATACAAGGACTGATGTACCTGTTCAACAAGGATGCTTCAAAACATATGATGATCATAATCGACTATAAAGTTGCTTGAAAGCAGAAGACCCTCTTGGAAATGTATTGTGCTATAGCAATCATCTTCATGATCGACCACTAGAATATACTAATTGGATCTGCAAAACGACTGAAAAAAGGTCCAGTTGAGCATCTATGCAATGAATTAAAGCATTCAAGAAAATTATTGAATGCTTTTGCACAAGTTGGGGTCTTCACCGAAACGATGTCTCTCTCTACACTTTGGATGAAGAACACATACGTCAGAGGTGGACCTGTGTGTGGGCATAATGGTTCCATCATAGTAAAAAATTACGTTTCTTCAGGGAGCCAGAACAAATGTTTCGTTGCGTGTCCCTATTTTTCTTAAAACTAAACTTATAACATAAATTTGTGATGGCCAACTTGGTATAAGTTGTCACATTAGTTTCTTGTTCAAAATGGTGCGAGTTCGAATCCAATTTTTAGCAAATTTCCTTTTCTTTCAGACTCCAATTTTTGATTTCTATAGCTTTTGTTGTTTTAAAAAACCAACAAACCGCAGTTTCAAGAAATAATATCTTCTACCAAAAATCGAGGAAAATGGGCCGTGGGAGGGATTGAACCCATGAACCTTGCAAATGCAAGCAACTAATCTTTGTGATATTTGTGTGCAACCAACCAACTAATCTATTGTGATTTTGAGAAACTTTTCTATAATTTTCACTCTTATAGTCAAATGGTCTCATCGTTTGACGCCTCTAGTCTACATACACATCCCACCCCTCAGACCATTCTTTCGAGTGGGATATTCTGGTTTAAGGAGGGTTTACGGAGAATTGTACCAGTGAGTGAAATTACAAATGTTTGGCTCTCCAGTCAACAGCATCATCACTATCCTCATCACTTGAGGACTCATCCCGGTTACTTTCTTTCTCCACCACTTGAGGAACTCCATTGCGGTCGCCAGACCTAGCAGCCTTCAGCTCCAATCTTTTCCTCTTGAATATTTCCACTCTCTCCCTGCAAGCCCTGCAATAAGTTACATGTCAACGGTTAATTTCAGGCACTCTTGAATGATGCTATTTTTTTAAGTATATAATATTTATACACAACAAATTAAGCTCACGCACAATTCTCACCTCTTGGTGAGACTTGAACCCCTGACCTCCAGGAAGGTGGGGTTACCTAGTATCATTAGGCCAATGGCCCTTTGGTAAAATACAGAAAACTACTTACGTTTGCTCTACAGTTTCCGCCTCTTCAATCATCTCAGCTGCATCATACTACATGATGATCATTACAATACTAAATGTTAGAAGAACATCAATGTAATTGACACATTAGCAATAGGTCTCCCCTTACATACAAAAGGGGGCAGGACCATAATAGAAAATGTATGAATGTAAATCGATCCCTTCCACCCTTTGTTTCCTAGAGTTATTTAGAAGAACAGCCTTTTGCTAGAGAATGCCTCTTCCTAACACAAGAATTTCCTAAATATCTGTCAAAAGGTTATTATGCATTTAAAAAAATAGTTGTCAGAAGATTATTTTCCTTAACAACCCGTGTTGTTTAGTAGAAGCAGAAGTGCAAGGTGAAATAACCAAATATTTGAAATTAATCATGAAGACACTAATTCAAACCTCCTCTTCTTCCATCCGGTTCTCTACCTCCTTCAAGTCCCCTTGTATCGACTTCTCAAACTCCTTGTACTCATCTCTGGTCAGGTTTTTCATAAATTAAGATTTAGTTAGTTCATGAAATTGAAGAAAAGCATATCAATATAATTCCCTTTTGTATTTAACCAACAAGCAAATGTAAACTCTTACCAAAGAGCCTTTGGCCTAGCGGCATGTGAGTCCTTGGTCATAATAATCAAAATTGATTACATGTAACTAAAGATCATAAACCAATTATGAAGAGATTCTTGGGAAATACATGAACAGATTGTTTAGAAATAAGGACTTGAACACTGCAACAATTGAACATACAAGTGAGGTAATAACGTGTTTGGACAACTAGCAATGTCTATAGTCTAGACTACCCAGTTGTTCAAATTTAAAAGGTAATTTGTTACAGAAGCTGAACCGGACCTTGAGAGCTTGGGTGTGGGTAAGCTTCCAACAGTTCAAGGTATAAAAGAAATATAACGATTCAAATACCTGTTGTATATATACATTAATACACAAACACGTATATATGTGTGTTAAAAACATAAATTTTTTACTCCGGCTATCTAAATTGTACATTTATAATCTTCTCCATTGTCATTACTTTCTTCAGTAGTTTTGCACCAATTTGGTGTATCCATAAAAACCCTTTAAAAGTTTGGAGTAACATTGACTTGGGGGTTGTTTGGTTATTTTCCGTTAAGGCCTGTATGAATTAAACTCTCTGTAAGGATTAAGTTTTTTTGTATGGATTAAGCAAAATTACAGTTTGTTTGTTGTGTAGAATAAACTATCTGAATGACAAAGTTACCAATTTACCCTTATTGTTTGTTTTGTTTTCCTTTACAGCTTCAAGATCTGATCAAAGTAACGAGTATAAATATATAAACATAGATCTCACGCGAAGTTCTACCCCTAAATCTTCAACAAACTTTCTGCCATATATACAAATATCAATGATGAAACCCATATTAACGATTTTCCTCGATACCAAATCAACTTCACCAAAATCCTCATTTCTACAATAACACTGGAACATCAAAAAAATAACACATGGAACATCAAGAACAAAATCCCCATCTCTTGTAAATCCATAATTTCATCAACCCCGCCAAATTTACACACTAAAATTGCATAATTTGATAAACAAAAACTTTGTATCGAGCCACAAAAAAGTTCCACGAAGAAGCTCTAATGCTCAACAAAGATGATCTCCTTAGTGTTATGATATCATCTTCCCTCGTTTGATTACCAACCCTACCTGCTGCTTAGCAGAAAGCAGTCGCTACTCCTTCCCTGATTCATCGTCGCTTCTCCAAGACTGCTCTCTGGTTAACACACCGCTTGCTCCGTTAGAGGAGGGGAGAGGGGAGCAGGGGCGAGGCAGGAGGCAGGGACTGACCAACCGAGAAGGGGGCTGTTGTTGGTGGTGCACAGGGAGAGATGTGAAGCCGAGCAGAGGAAGGAAGAAGGTGAGGGTCACAACGGGTAAGGCAGGTCATGGCTGTTGGTGGCAAGGAGTGGTTGGATGAGGTCACGGTGGAGGGAAGGAAAGAAAAACGAATAATCCAGGATGGGTTGGACGAGGTCATGGTGGGGAAGGAAAGGAGTGGTGGATGAGCGTTCACATTTTGAGAGAAAGGGAGAGAGAAGGGCAGGATAGGAAAAATCAAAGCTTAATGAATACAAGAAGGGTGAGTGGACTGAGAGAATAAGCCATTGCCTTACTAAATAACCAATAATCAAACACTCTTTTTGGTCCTAGTTACTCTTTGGGATGGAGTGGAAGAAGGGAGGCAGTATAGCTTACCGAATAAGCTATACAAGCCAATTATGCCAATACTAAACAGCCCCTTGTATTACAAGATTCATCATGTGCCTGCTATCACAGACTTCTCCAAAACTACGTGTAGCCTTAGCGGTTCAAAGACAGAATACTTTTGGTGCAATTTCAGCAGATAGCAATGAAGAGGGGCTAAAAGTCGGCTGCGGGGAGCAAAGGATACCCCAAAAAGACAGCTCCTAGTACTTGGGATCTATGATTCACAAGAAGTGAGAGAATGAGAAGGATGTTGAATTTCGCATAAACATAGGTTGGCTATAGCAAAGGCCGCAAAAGGAGTTCTATGTGAGATAGGATCTCGTTAAAACTAAAAGAAAGATTCTACAAGGCGATCGTCAGACAAGCTATGTTGTATGGGTCGAAATATTGAGCGATGAAGAAAGCACATGAGAAAAGATAAAATTGCAGAAACAAGGATGCCGAGATGAACCTACGGTTAGACTATGTTGGATAGGATAATGAATGAGTTTTTCAAGCAGAGCTAGGAGTTTCACCTATTTCGAATAAATTGAGAGTGGGAAGGCTGAGGTGGTTTGGGCATGTTCATAGAAGACCACATACGGCACCGGTTAAAAGGGTGGAAACAGGGGCGAGGCAAGCCAAAGAGATTGTGGGATGAGCAGTTGAGGCTAGACATCGAGGCATTAGACTTTCTGAGAGCATGACTTCAGATAGGAGTTCTTAGAGGCATTTTAGGGTAGCTGATTGCTTGTAGGGCCGCAGATGGGGGGGAGGGTGCAAGTGCAAGTGTATAAGGTAGGCTAGGGGAAAGGTCGAGAGTCTTCAAATAAGTATGTGATAACTTTTGATAGGGATAGGAAGTTTCTTTGGTGTATTCTGCTTGCTTTTTTGCTAGGTAGGATTTCTGCGTTTTTTAATAATCGTTTTCAAAAAAAACCATTTTTTCTCAGATCTTTGGCTTATAGTTGTGCTTTTTATTTGTTTTTCTTACGCTTTTTGCAAGTCGGAGTCTTCTCGGAAACAGCCTCTCTGTTTCTTCAGACAGAGGTCTGCAATCTGCATACATCTTACCCGCCTCCACCCTACTTCTGAGTGGAATGTACTAGGTTTGTTTTGGTTTGTATTATGAGAACAATTTATTATATCAAATCAATATAGTAACAATTTATGAATTTACATCTAAGCGAATTTGTATTCTGTTACCTAGATAGGAACGTCAATGTTATAAATGTATTTCATATTGTTCATTTACTAGTTCACAGAAAACATACTCAAGACGAGAACTTCTAATAGAGTGCTTGAGTAATGATCATAGTTGGTAAACAATCAAATATCTTTCTTTGTCAATTTAGCATCCTAGAGCATATTTCTGCCAACCAGCATTTACGCTTGATTGAGCATTTTTTCAACAAATGAGTCATACTTCTCTTAATAGATTTTGAAAGCATGCTTCCTATAGCAGTCACTGATGGAACCTTGTTTTATAAACCAATGAGTTATGTTGGAAAGAAATATCAGAAAATAAGATAATCATAAGATGATAAAACCAATAGACATAACAATCCATTTGTGAGAACTTACGTGATATCTAGCTTAACAGGCGTAATTCCACGTGCACGTAGATCAGCATCTTTATCATCAAAGAAACCTTCAGGAAGAGCTCGTGTTTGAGAAGCCTGAATCTCCTCGCCCATTGTCTCTACAACTTTGGCACTATAGACTTCACCTCTTTTGTTTTCCCCATCAATTGCATATGTAACTTGAGGTTCAGCAGAACCCAACACCTTTTTCTTTTTATCATTGTCCATCGGCTTTGCATTAGTAATTTCTAGTGAAGAAACAACAATCAGATTGAGCATAAAGAAAAAAATCAGTACTTCATATCCATGATAATAATAAGAAACAGCATCTGACTAGAATGCAATACGTAACTAGTAGAGAACTTGCACAAGGAGTTCACAAGAGCAGTCCTACTGATATCTTGATATACATGTTCATCCAAAATAGCATTTTGTTACACGCTTACTTCTTTAACAACTTGGCACATTGTTACTGGAAAGAACATAAAAAGTGATTATTGTAATCCTTCACCAAAGACTACTCTATTCTAGAAGTGCCACATGAATAGATGATTAGATTTGTGTCTCCGTATAAGCTCAAAGTTGGGGTTACCAATAACTTCCACCATTTTTTAGTTGATTTGGAGGTTACTGGATCAAGCTGCTGCTTTGGGCTATGGGGCGTTACAAATGGTATTATAATCGATCTACGTACCATCGGGATGGTGAGGCAAACCTCATCGAGCATGATGGGTGTTTGTAACATCTTAGGCGAATCCCATGAACAAAGAGAGGATGCTTGGAAGGCCTGAGGAGGATGTCAAGAAGTTTATGTGGGGGAGTTTGTAACAACCCATCCCACAAGGATAGAAGATTAGATTTGTGATCTCAATATAAGCTCAAAGTTGCGGGCTACCAATAACTTCCATCATGGTTTTAGTTCATTTGGAGGTTACTGGGTCAGCCTGCTTTAGGCTATGGGGCATTACAACCCAAATGTGTAGAAATTTAAAACAAAGACTTTTTATGTAGCCAGATTAATGTGAAATGTGTGCATCCTGGATTTCATGTGGTATCTCACCTTGACCAATAGAATGCAAAATTCACAGAGATCTATCCTCCATATGTCGACGAAATAGGACAACAATATATTTAAGTACATACTAAGTCTGTGCACTCCTTACCAGTGCCCTTAAAACATTTACAATGACGTTGATCAACTAATGTAATGCACTCTTACCATTCTTTTGCCTCTTCGTCTCAGGCTTATCAAAGAAATCAGAAGGAAGTACAGATTGGGACTTCGCTTGAGGTGGTCCACTTTGAACTTTATACGACTCAGCAGGAACCTCTGCTTTAGGTTTATCAAATTCTGTAGAAGCCCCTGACTTCGCATTGTTAACCCTACTAGCTGCTGCAGCATTTGCTTTTACATTTTTAATTGCCTGTTAAAAATCAGCACACTTGTTAAAAATGAAGGGGAAAAGAGCGAGACAAACATATGGGTGTGCTGTAAACACTAAACATGAATTAACATCAAAGATGTGGTCATCCTTCTTACCAATGAGGCAGTGTACAGAAGGTGCAGGGACATTAAATTGTATGACTTAAACAAGGAGGGCAAACAATAAATTCAACTTTATCAACTACTATAATGATATACTTCATCTTATATCAAGTACAACCTTCTCATACATCAGAATAGATGATAAAGAGAATATATACACACATATATGTGTAATAACCGGGTTATTTTCGGTTATAAAGCTCGGGGTTGTTTTTGAAAAAGTGTTAGTAAGTTGAGGGGTTAAAGCTGTTTATGTGCTTAAAAACTTTTAAAACACTCACCGCCTCTTATTCTTAAAGCTTATTATGGTGGGATATTTTGGGTTATCTCATGGGGATTGTGAAATAGAAAAGAAAAGTTGGTGAGAAAAGCTCATGTGTGTTTTTGAACCGAGAGAAAACAGGACCGAAGAGAAAGCAAGAAGAAGTCTCTATGATTAAAACTTGTTAACTGATTGTTGTTATACATCTTCATATCTTCATCTATGTGTTCATAAGTGAGTTTAATTTTATCAACTTTCCTTATTTGGAAACTAGGTATATAATCATATGGTTCTTTATATGAGATGTTATAAAACTGTTTTGATGCCATAATTGACAAAATTGTGGGATTTTGATATGTTCATATCATATGTTGGAATAAGGGTGACGTACCAAGGAGAGATGTATTTTGGTTATAAAGGTGGCATATCAAGGAGAGGTGTATATCAAGATAAGGGTGGCATATCAAGGAGAGGTGTATACAAGGATAAGGGTGGCGTAATCAATGAGTTATAAAGTCTGGGTTTTGATCAAGTGTTCAATCTTATCGCATCCTTATGATGCAATAACCTTGAGTTATCGCATCTGTGTGATGCAATAACTTAGAGTTATCGTGCCCGTATGATGCGATGAAGTGTAGTTATTGCTCCAGTGTGATGCGAGGAGTGAGTTTATCGCACCTTTGTAATGCGACAAAATGGACTTATCGCACCTTCGTGATGCAATGAGTTGATGTTCTCGCACCAGTGTGTTGCGAAGAGATGGGGTTGTCTCATCATGTGATGCGAGAAATTTTACAATTTACTATATGATACGACAAGTTTTACTTATAATGTGTTTATCAAGCTATTGGGTATTTGGATGTGATAAATGAGATTCATTATATCAAAATGATGAATATTTGTTATTATTACAAATATGATTTCATAAATGGGATTTGGTGAATATTTACCCTGTAATTGCATCAAAGGGAATTTTTCACTAGGCCTCAAGGTCTAACCCTCATTTTGTGCTTTAAAAATGTGCATTACAAGTCGGGAAAAATTTGAGGTAAAGGGGAAAGGGAAATTGTGAAGTGCTATTATTATGCTTGCATGGGATTACTCGGATGGCATCTTCTTCTTCTGTAGCTGAATACTTGTTATGTAGAAATTTTGTGGAAGAAGTTATTAGCTATTTTGTAATATAGCTTTTGTATATTTGGGACCGAATGTGTAAATTATATTTCTTGATATATGGAAATATATGTTTTTATGAAAATGTGATCTTGGGGTGTTACAATATGTGTGTTTATGTATTATAATACATAACCCAGAAGAAATTAAGAATCTCTTGATAGGACTTAACAATTTTACATGGTCAATATAGAAAAAGTATGGGAGAAATATTTTCTCACATTCATAATTGATGCAGCTATGCATGCTGCATCATCTATTAATTGTTCCAACAAATGCATGGGTGACTGCAAAATACTAGGAAAGCAAAGACTAAATTGATGAACCATCATATGATTGCAAGTAGCGCACTAGCACGAGACTGTCAATTGTGCTTAGCACAAAATGTTGCTATAGTAGAAAAACTATCCCACTCTAACGCAAGAAAACATCAAATAAGTTTTTTTTCCCAATTCAAGTATCACCATTTATCATTTCATGAATACTTATATGCCCTTGTGATAAGCTTTAAAGTTCCGAATCAATAGTAAATTATATTACCTCCCGATGTTTCGCAGACACTTGATGTGCACTCCAAGCAGACTCAGATTTTAGAACAATATCACAAACCCTACAGACGGGCTGGTCAGATTCATTGTACCTAGAACCAGAGAAAAGTAAGAGGGGACAAAAATTGTTATGATATGTGTAACAGCTTATATAATTCAATTAGTGCATAAGATCATCAAAACTTGTCTAAATGAAAAAGAAAATATACTGATAATGCAAGTACATGTAATTTTATCAAATGCAAGCAGAGCTAGAAGCCATACACAAAAAGATGTTGCCAGTGTCAATATACTTGAACATAAGCAATTGTAGTCACCTGATTATCAACTAAAAACCTTGTATCAAGGTGGCGATAAATGTGAAAGATGCATATATAGAGAGAGAGAGGGAGTTTAAAACACAAACAGTGTAATTGTTACAAACCATACAAACCAATCTCATATCAATGGTGTAGATTAAATTGGCTCATAAATCTACTCTCAACCACATCTTTAACTGATTTGATAATCGCCTTTAGATTTCAAAATAAACAAAATCAAGGGCCCAGATTTGGTTTGTATGGTGTGTAACAATTGCACGGTTTGTATTTAAAATATCGGTCCTAGCCTCCTAGGCTACCTTGTTTGATGCCACATAAACTTCTACTGCTTCTCTTTTACAAGTTTTAAGGTCCTAATGACACATCTGATATCATGACATGAACTGTAAGTGGCTTTTTTATTCACAATATTCATTGGACCATTCACAAAACTTCCACAAGAGTAGATGATAGGTTCAGCATACTAAAGTGTGAACACATAAGAACAAGAGGAAGCATCTTACCTGGAATCTTAGAGTTGTTTTTGTCTACATAGGTATGTCACTTTAGGTCATAATCCCTTTCTGATGGCCATACAAACTTGAAATCCTCAAAATTTTACAGTGATACTCTGACTTGCCATGATCCTCTATAACATGCACAAGTATAATAACAAAACTAAAATTGCAAATACATCAAACCACTGTCCAAACTCAAGAGCAAGCATCCTAGTTGGGGAAGAGTGCACAATGCAGTTAGACTAAACCCTGCAGTAAAGAACACAACATCTAAACCAGAGCAAGATTTTAATCACCATAAAACCTTTTTTGATTAAGCATGTTAATAATGATGACCATTTGTTACTCTTTTAAATTGGCAATGGTATGACCTGCTTATGCCATGTCCTATTAATGAATGCGTCAACAAGAAAGATGAATAAATAAACTCATAAAAAGAAGACGAAGCAAAATGAGCCTGCTACTGAAATTACTATTAACTTCCAATTTTCTGCTTGTTAATCAGCTACCAGTTTAATTGTCTAAGCATATAAACATTATATTCTTAAAAATCATTTACATGAAAATTGAGATTACACCTTACGAGAGGAGAGTCAATACGTTTATCCTGCTTCTGTGCTTTCAATTTAGCACGATATAATGCCTTCTTTGCTTGAGCATCCATCGCTCTGCAAAAAAAAAATTCAAAGATCAATCAAATACATTATCTCAAAATACTGGTTTTGAACAAATAATCAAGCGAGAGTCAGGATTTGGATTCAGGGTGGTCCTAAATATCTTTATATTTTTTTCAAACTCACATAAACAAGCATGGTCTAGCTATAATCATCTCCTTACAGGTGTTGGATAGAATTCAAGGGCGGAGGCGCGGAGCCAGGATTATTTCCTAGGGTCATCCTCTAAAAAATCCAGACTTTGTTTAATCTTATCATCGTTAGTTGGCTCCAATGAATCATCTTAACAACTTCAATAATCAACATGAGAGAGAGCGATAAACTTAACACTTTCAAACAAATATGATAAACACAACAATTTCAATAACCAACACACCAATGTCGATAATAAGCAAAATAAGCTTTAATTTGGAAGTTTCAACATAACAGGAACCTTTCAGTAATCAATACTAATTGCTAGGAGGCGAGGATTTCAATAGTCAACATAACAGAGAGAGAAATGAACCCTAAAAATAAAAAAATGATTGAACCCTGAAAATTTGACTTACCGAGAGCGAGGATTTTGAAACTCTAATTCCTAAAACCGTAAACAGCCTACAGATGTTCTGATTGAAGTCTGGACTCTGGAGGATGACGTTTTGGCGCACATAATCAAACAGACGATCGCAAAATCGTAGAGGGGGATTGATGTGATCGACTCTTGACTAGTTTCGGGCCGGTGTTGTCCTGCATCCATCTATAGGTCTAACTTACGAATTAGAGATGGCCAAATGAGCCCAGCCCGGCCCGGCCCGGGACAGGGATCGGTAACGACCGGTTATGGGACCGAAAACCGGGACCGGTAAGGACCGGTTATGGGACCGAAAACCGGGACCGGTTGAGGTTTTTGGTAGTTTCGTGGGACCGGCACCGACCGGGACCGGTTATGGGACCGACTATGGACCGGCCCGAAAATTCAATTAATTTTATAAATAAATGTATTTTTAAATAATTTTATAATGTATTTTTATAAGAAAACGTAATTTTAATTATATTAAAACGCATTTTTAAAGTGTATTTGAGTGACCCAATTATATGACCGAGACCGGCGGCCCATAACCGGTCCTAAATTACCTATACCGGTCCTATAATTTTCGACCGGGACCGAGACCGGGACCGGTTATGGCCAGTTATGAGAATGGTGAGGACCGATTGGGACCGGCCCAGGACCGGTTTTTGGCCATCTCTACTTACGATGGCCAAAAACCGGTATTGGGCCGGGCCGGGCCGGGCCAGGTAGGTCCTTACCGGTCCCGGACCTTAACAGATCCGGCCATAAACAGTCTTGGTGTAATCGGTCCCGGTTCCTGTCGAAAAAGGTGATCCCGATCAAGCTTTATTGTAATCGGTTATGGGTCGCCGATCCCCCTCCGGTCCCAACCGGTCCCGGTCATTAAAAAATAATATTTTTTTAATTTTTTTAATGATATATATTTTTAATACATTATAAAATTTGTAATTGGGTCACTCAAATACACTTTAAAAATGCGTTTTATTATAATTAAAATTACATTGTCTTATAAAATATGCGAGAAATCGAGAATTGTGAACGTTTTTTGCGTTTTTAGCGAATCGAGAACTTGGTATGTAAACCCCTCAACCAAGACACTTATATATATAGTGTTTAGAAGACAAAACTATAATACAAAAAGGCCAAAAAACGGTGATAAACGGCTAGTTTTTTGAAAAATAACGGCTACATTTAAACAAAAAAAAACATCTACATTTTTTGAAAAATCGGGTCGGGTCGGACCGATCCATAAACGGTCCCATGAAACATCCCAAATCCATAATCAGTCCCAGTTTTCGGTCCTATAACCGGTCCCGGTCCTCCAGCGGTCCCTGGTCGGGCCGGGCCGGTTTGGCCATCACTAGGTCCAACTAGGGGTGCTCATGGGTTAGGTTGATCGGGTTGAAGACATTTAAACAACTCAACCCAATGTTTACGGTTTGAAAAATCTTAACCCAAACCAAGGTGCAACTCAATCCAACGCAAACCGTACGGGTTGGTCGGGTTGATACTTTGGTACATTAAAATATTCTTCTAACCTTGAATATGTTATTTTTCTACTCATAATTTCTTTTTCATCATCAACTATTTGATACAACTTATTCATACTTCTTACATATATCATATTCAGTTAATTTTCTCAATTTACATATATATGTTCACAATTACTAAACATATATATGAATGAATTATATAGAGATGTGAATAGATTGAAAATATGTGTATATGAAAAGTGTACGTGATAGTATAATTGTCCAATCTATATATTAATAGAAATTCAACAATCATATTAAATTCAATAAATAAAAAGATATCGGGATCATCCGGTTAGGTTCATATAATAGTAACCCAAAATTAACCCAATTCCTACGGTTTTAAAATTTTACAACTCGATTAGACATCGGGTTGCTTCGGGTTGAGTTATTTTCGCGTTGGGTTGGGTTGGGTTGGTCGGGTTTTTGAGCACCCCTAGGTCCAAGCCCATCCTGAGTAGAGGTGACCAAAGATCGGTCCTGGTTCCGAATAATGATTTCGTAATCGGTCCTGGGCTGGACCGCGCCCGGACCTTGTTTTCTGTCAAATATTGTAACCGGTTAAAGATCGCCAGGGCGATCCCGGTCCCAAGTCAGTCCAGTCCTGGTCCTTCGCCGATCCCGAGCAGGATCGAGTCCATTTGGCCATCTCTATCCCAAAGTGATATTCTAAATAGTTAAAAAAAAGGTAATTTAAGTATTTTTTTAGAACAAATATCTATATATATATATATATATATATATATATATATTAAAGAAGAAACCAAAGATAATGAGGTGGCATCTTCTAATGCTTAGAACCCCTCCTATCTTTTTTCTCATTTTTTTGATTTTTTTAAATGTTGAATATGTTAAAGACTTTTTTGCCTCTTGATGAAAAATGTATAGCTCACTATTAACCCGAGTTATTTTTGTAATTTTGTATACCCAAGTTTAACCTCCAACTCTTGATTTGCTCTTCCATTTACTTTCTTTTATTTCTTAATGAAATTTGTTTTTTAAAGCTTCAATAATAAACAAAATAAAATCATATAAAATCCTTTGGTGAGGGATGAAGAAGATGAGAGTTGAAGAAGAATTCAAAGATTTTCAAAGGTATATAGAAATTATATTCATTAAAAAAATGTGATTTGTTATTACATGTTTCTTTTTCAATATTGTTGGATGTGTTGTTATCATAGGATATGATTGTATTTACGATTGGATTATATAAATTGTGTTTACGATTTGATCATATAAATTCGAATAAAATTTTGATATTTAATAATCACAGGATATGATAAAAAAAATTCGAATTTAAGCTTTATTAACAACAACTATTTATTCATCTTCATCTCTCACACCCTCTCAAATTATATCTCTATCTTATACATCTCTAAATTTATTTTCTTTCTTTTTGGTTTTTCTTCTATTTTACTATTGATAATCTTCATAGTTTTTTTTTTCACTTCTCCCATAA